TTCTAAATTGTCATTTACACTTTTTTTAAAAAAAATTGCTTGTGATGCATTCTGATCACGGAGAACGTATTACGTCTATCAGTGCGTACAGTACTTGAAGTTACTGATTATGCAACACAGATTGTCCTCTATTACACTGAGTTCAATCTATATAAATTGGGTCATTTAAAAAGTGTCCTGGTTTAAGCTAAACAGAAGCAATTTTTTTCAGTGATTTTACTTTACAGCTAAGTTTCTTCTAAGAGACTGCACTTTCTGAATTTAACAACATGTTTTTGGAGACAATGTCTGCTGCTAGAAGCAATAACACCTGATGTTTATAGCTACTATCATGGACTAGTACGCAGAAGAGCTTTTGCTCGTACTTGATCCTATAGTCAAGGTCACTGCTAAATCTTGTGCATCATGTTGGGGGTACTAGAAGGTAAAAGGCTCAAAAGGAAGCAAAAGGTTGCACCTCAAGGGAGTGACAGGACAGGTGATCAACACAAGTATTCATCATGTTTAAGCGCAAAGCTTGAGGGATCCTGGTGGTTAAGCTCTTGCTCTTCTGTTTCTTCAATGACTGGCATCTGAGGAGGGCTCCATCCATTCTTCTGCCTTTGATCCCAGTTCTGAGTTTCCCAAAACAGCTCCTGTGTCTGGTTCCCCTCTGCTGGTGAGCCTGGGACTTCCCTGGTGCCTGCCTGCTCTGCAGTATCAGTGGTTATTGTTATCAGGGGGCATCGGGAGTTGGTTTTAGTATTGATTTTGTGTATATTTGTATATGTTTCATTATTTCCTTAATCACAGAATCATAGAAAGCTAGGAGTTGGAAGGGACCTTGAAAGATCATCTAGTCCAGTCCCCCCTGCCAGAGCAAGATCACCTACAGTAGGTTGCACAGGAACGCATCCAGATGGGTTTGGAATGTCTCCAGAGAAGGAGACTTCACAACCTCTCTGGGCAGCCTGTTGCAGTGCTCTGTCACCCTCACAGTGAAAAAGTTTTCTCTAGGGATTTTGTTGAACCTCCTATTCCAGTTTGTAGCCATTGCCCCTTCTCCTATCACTGGACATCACAGAAAAGAGCCTGGCTCCGTCCTCCTGACACTCACTCTTTACATATTTATAAACATTTATGAGGTCACCCCTCAGCCTCCTCTTCTCCAAGCTAGAGACCCAGCTCCTTCAGCCTTTCCTCATAAGGGAGATGATCCACTCCCTTCATCATCTTTGTGGTTCTGTGCTGGACTCCCTCAAGCAGTTCCCTGTCCCCCTTGGACGGAGGGTCCCAGAACTGGACACAGATGAGGCTTGACCAGGACAGAGTAGAGGCGGAAAAGAATGTCTCTCAACCTACTAGCTACTCCCCTTCTAATAGGATGCCATTGACCTTCAGGGCCACAAGGGCACATTGCTGGCTCATGAGCATCCTGCTGTCCACTAGAACCCCCAGGTCCCTTTCCCCTGCGCTGCTCTCCAACACATAATAATACATAGTAATACACATAATGATACTGCTGTTGTTTATTAAAGCTGTTTTAGTTTTCTTTTCCAATCTGTAAGTCTCTCTGTCTTATTCCTTTTCCCCTCCCCTTTGTAATTTGAAAGCAACAATAATACTGCGTTGTTTTTTCCCATTGGGGAAGGGAGAGGGGTAGAATGCATCTGTCAGCATTTGATTTATTAACCCTCTTTGTCCTAATCTCAATCCTCTAACCTTTTTAGCTGAATTTTCTCCCTCCATGTCCTTGTGGAGATGGGGGTGTGGGGAGGGGAATGGGTGAGTGACTGAATGGTTCTTTGTTGTCCAACAGTTGGCTCAAACCAAGATGATTCTTGTAAGAAATTATTTATTAAAACATTCTTCAAACTAGCTCTGTTGTCTATATTCTGGATCATTTCAACCTCTGTTAGAAGTCTAAGACAGTGTAAAAAACTTACTAATTCTGCACATAGGAAGATCCCCAAAACAAGCCCTGCAAAAACCAAACCAAACCAAAACTGTGAAACTTTAATAATGTCTGGAAAGTGCTGAGACTAAAAACCATGTGAGAATGGAGTCATACTATACTGTTCTGCAGAGAACCTTGAGAACACACAGTGGTGCTCTTAACACTAGGTATTACCTCCCTAATTCTACAAGCACTGCAAATGTGAATTGCACACTATGCCTTTTAAAGGCATGCTCAATATCTAACTTTTTTGGATACTCCTTCGTGTTTCAAGTGACAATCTCAGAGAAAACTGTTAATACTTTTGCTTTAAGATTATAGTCAAGGTAGAAGCAATCTGCTTTCTCTTTTCTGTGGTTCTGTATTTGTAATTCTGAAGGGACAGCCTTTTGTGTAAATACTGTATTTCAGCTTCTTTCTCATGCTCTGCCATCAGCTCATGATGTTGTTTTCCTGTCAGTGTGAAGAAAAAAAAGCCTTAAACATATGTTTGTTTCAGATGTCAATGGTCATTTTGCCAACCCCTGCTCAGGAAGGATGAAAAGCTCACATGGAACAGAAGGGCAAAACTCACCTGATCTTGATTCTTCAGTACGAATACAGACTGTGAAAGTGGGGCCCCATAATCCTTCTGGCTTTTTGGGTTTTAAGCAAGAGATGTGAGAAAAATTACCATAGGGATAACTCGTTTGTGGTGGCCAAGTGTTTGTAACGATGTCACTTTTTGATCCTTTGATGCTGGCTCTTCCTATCATTGTGAAACAGCATTCACCAAGTGTTGGACTGTTCATCCACTAACAGGGAACGTGAGCTGGAGTTAGACTGTTGTGAGACAGCTAAGTTTTACCCTCTTGATGATGTATTGTATTTTGTATTTTTTTATTGATGATGATGCTGTATTTTGTATTTTAACGCAAAGCATTGAGTAACAGTGGCTTGCGTTCAACCCTGCAGTCCATGATAAATCTTCTTATTCAAGCCTTAAGAAGATTAGACTCAGACTCTGTGGTAGTTACCCATAGTTGTTGGATTGTGGAGGAACGCCTATCAGTCTATTGCACTTGGCCTACAAGCCCTTTGCATATCTGTTTAACTAATGCTGACATAACAGACCCTACGTATGCTGAATTCATTGGTGTTTTCAAAACCTTAGTGGTAGGTAACACCTATAATGGTCTTGGAAGATGAAATCTTCTGTGATTTGAAGATACTCAGCACCGCAGTAGGCACTCTCATTTCTTTATGTGATTGAGAGATGTAATACGCTTTTGATGTGCTAAGTCAGTTAGTTTCTCAGGGCTAAATGCCCCTGTTCCTGATTTATCTTTTCCTTTTTTAAACATGGTGGGGTGCTTATTTAGTTTTCTCTTTAATTATTATTTTAATATTAAAGATATTAAAGATTCATGCAGTGGGCAAGAGGAGTGGATGGTTTGAAGTGCCTGTCAAAGTGGAAGACAAACAAAGCAAGATTCTTTTCTCTTTCAGTTACAGTCAGCTCAGTGATTACTGGCAAAGGAGAAGATGAAAGCATTGAGCATCTTTATGCTAATACAGGAGGCTGATAAAAGGCTGGTAGAATTCTTTAACTTAACGGCCTCAAGAAACAGAAGTGTTAGTAGAAAGGGACTTCTAGAGGTTGTTCTGGTCCAAGCTTTTACTTGAAAGAGTAGCTGATCTAGCTATGAATTGATCCCTTGAAAATGACAGAAAAAATGACAGGCAAAATCCTTGTTTGTCTTCACTCCAAGAAAATAAGAGTGCTTTAAAACAACAGTGATGAATAACAGTGCAAACAGTATCTTTTACTGCTGAATTACAGTTTAATTTCATTCTACATAGATACAATGTGATATAATCCCTAGATCATAATAAAATAGAGGCACTGTACAGTTTTTGTGAAGGAAAACCCAATAGAAATAGCTTTTTAAAAAGTGAAAAGTTGACAGATACTGGGAAAATGCATCTTCAAGTATGCTCTGTTTGCAAGTGATTAAAAAGATTTTTAGCATAAAAACTAGTTAAACTCATCCAATACATGATAGAATATAATTTAGTGCCTAATGCCAGACACACTGAAAAATGGGTAGATAGGACTAATGATGCAGTTTTATATGAACTACATGTAATCAAATGGTCAACATTCTCATAGTAATAAGACTTGATACATATGTATGAAGAATTATAAGCAGTTAATTTTTACTGTAAGCAGGAGATATTTTAAGAAAAACAAGGAATGTAAGGGGATAAGGAAGCTACAAACATCTTCATAATATCAGTAGCGATAGACATTTTTTTAAAGACATTAGTTTGTTCCTGCAAATCACTGCACTCTTGAGAATAGTATTTGCAAATTAAAAATTATCTAAAATGAGACCAAAAGGAAACAGTAATTCCTATTTTTTTTAAAAAATATTTTGTATTAGGAATCTTGCAAAGAACTGAAATATGGCATGGCCAAGAAACATGAATAACCCACCATTTCAAAGACTTTGCATTCATCACATTTAAATACTAGATGTCTCGTTTCAAAAGGTCTCATGCAAAATCCAGCTATAAAAACTCACCACAGAATATTTTCAAGGATAAAAAGCTAATTTTTTTTAAAGCTCTGACAGACATCCATTTGTGAAGGTGAATTTTAAAACTAATGGTCCACATTTCCCAGAGGACATTTAAAAAGATAGCTGTTGAACTTTCTGTAAATGCCCAGCTCTTATCTACACTTTGCATGGAGTATTTACCAAAGTTGTAACGTTGGACAGATAATGGAACAATACTGTCCATCGCTGCCTAGAGGAGTGCCAGAGGTAACATCATTATAACTGCATAATAATTACAAAACAATTTCCTACTATGAAATGATATTTTTTTCATGTACTATGTATATATATATTCATCTATATTGAATATGGGTCCAATAATACTATCATAGTAATGTGTTGTAGTGGTCTTTTTTATTGAGAAAACTGCCCTAGTTATCTGTAACATGCAAAGCTTGGAAGAACCAGAAATTCACAGTAAGTTGTACAATTTGTATATGCATCTTCTGCCATCCTAAAGTTAACCAGGACACTCAAGACTGTTGCTTATTTTTCCTATGTTTGACAAAAGCTACAGTTCTATATACTGTACATTCACAGTGGAGTCCCAGCCTGCTGCACAATCTGCAAGAAGGATCAGGTTACCACTTTCTGTCACAGTAAACATTCTAGTATTTGATATAATTATCTTGTGAACAGCTTGAAGTCCAGCAGTTCAGGACTTGATAAAATTCTCCTTTTCATCTCTGAATGGTTTCTTGCTAGCGCATTTTGTAGTCATTAGATACCGACATTTCACATAGCTGTCCTTTAAAATCCAGATCTACTGTGAAATCCAGGTCACGCTGTAAAAAGATTTAAATGTAACATATAAGTAAGACCATAAGTTTAGTGTATGAATTCAGTTATCATTTCTCAGGTTGAATAGACCTACAGATTCAAGAGATATCTACTGTGTTTTCTAACTTCTTTTGTTTTTAAATGTTGCTAATACTGAAAAAGCAGGTTATAGGATGTACAATAGCATTCACCATGCAATCTGTATCTGGGGTGTATTTGGGTATTCTTCTTCATGCTAATTTGTCTTCTGGTTGCAACTAGGAAGCTTCTGAAATGCTGTGCTATCATATGCATTCTGTAATATTTTTTTAAGGATACCCTATCAAGATGCTCTTAATCTAGAATAAAGGGCTTTCACAGTAGGAGTTATTCCAGACTAGATTTAACAATCTTCCCATTTCAGAGAAGACCTCAGTCATTCTTTGACTTATAATGATGTGTGTTTTTGAAAGATGCACTATATATCCTTACAAAATGAAGCTGTCTCTCTACAAGCTTCTGAAAGCCTTCATGTTTCAGAAGAACAAAACACTAACAAATCCTCTTGAATTAAGATATCTCTGTTGTATGACAATGATCAAGAACACAATTTTAGCATCCAAATCTGCATTCAGGTGCTTGCTGCTCTGCAAACAAATGTGAAGTATTTATTTCATTTTCCCCCCAGAAGAATATTGATAATTTCAACCTAAAAGAAAATGTTGCATTCCCCCAAGGACAACATAAAGGTGGGAAACAGACTATTTTCCTCTACTTTTACAGCAAACGGTAGCTTCAGAAGTGAATGTGTTTGTTTTAATGTCAATTTTATTTTGTTTTTACTCTTTCCTTGTACCAACAGTTCTATGAAAACCATGTCCAATCTGTATTTGGTACAAAAAAGGGAAAATAATGCAAAAAAGTAAGAAAATGAAATGGCAAGACTTACTGCAGTCGACAAACATAATATTTCAACAATTACAACTGTACAGACAGATTATAACAAGGTTATTTAATGGCTGTGTGTTGTAATAGAAAATGAAGAAATTCTGCTCAAGTTTTTTGGCAAAAAATGGTGCCATTGTTTCTCCCAAAGCCATACTTCTCACATTTTGCTTTTCTATACAGGCATAGGTTGTTCATCAGACCATGTCTCATAGTCTCCTGACAAGTTAAAAGAAGCATGGAGTAGCTGACATACTTGGCGAGGGATTCAGCCCACAGCAGAGAAATTGAGGAAGTTTTCACCAGTCATGATAAATAAAATATCTGTATTTTCTGTGGAAAGCCACAATTTTTGAACAACCATATCACTTGATTGGTGATTCAAGTACATTTGATTAGTGAGTTCATACAGTCGGCTGAAATCTGTTCATTTCCTAAAGGAGAGTTCTTGGGCCCTGAATGGGAAATCTGGCTATAGACGTGGAACTTTTGATCATCTTGTGTTGGCAGAAGTTATCTTACCACTGATTTTAATGACAGTACGAAGAGACCCTTGTCTACTTGTGTCACAAAGATAAGCGAGGCTGATTGCAGAGGGCACCTAACTTGATGCACTTGAATCATTTCTTCCTTCCCATGTTAGCTTGTCTGCAGGCTGTGTTCTATAACATTAGCATTGCATTAGCACTGCTGCCACCAGCTAATAAACATGAATTTGGAGCCTTTATCATGTTTATTGCTTTTCTTATATCAGTTTTAAATATCACTGATTATACTTTGTGAACAACAGAACTGGAATTAGCATCAGTGACGCTGACTCACCACATTTTTTGCGTTTGGTTTCATGGATATAGTCCCATAGATTTCTTCTCCTCGTCTCACAGTTAAATAGTCCTCTAAGTAGAAGACAGTTTGCTTCCAGTGGGTGTAGGGAGCATCGGGTGCTAAAAAAAATTATATATATATATACATATGAATATTATTTATAGAAATTTCATCTTTGTCTTACAAATCAAATTAAGACTTGGGAACAATTGAAATAAAGCCTTTCTCTTCATATAATGTTTTAACTTGCATACTGTATTAGCACACATGCTTTACAGCAACACAATTCTACTGACTGTCAGTGGGTTGTCTTCTGATTTTTACTGGAATATGTCAGATGTGACTCATACCTAGCAAAGATTCCCACAAAAGTGTTTACTGGGCATGACAGGCACCTTTTTGATTCTTTCTTTTCAACCCACACACATTCAAATCGGGGAAATCTTTAGCACTAAGTGCTTTGAAAGTCTAAATTAGTTTAGAAAACAATTACAAAAAATCATGAAAGAAAGGTTCATTGAAAACTATAATCACAATGACACAGATGAAATCTTTGACTCACGATCCTGGAACGGCAATTTTATAGTTTTCAGGAGGATACAGCTGGGGAAAGACCTGTGTTTGGACTTTTTAAAGGCATATGCTATGGGCAATTTGCCAGTCTAAATTAATTACTAGTCTTGCTTAGCAGAATCACTTTGATGATATTCTGCTATTTCAAGTTTTTCTTTTATGTATTTGTCTTATTTCTGATTTAATTTCAAATCTTTGAGCAGTGCCTAATGAACTTGCATTGGTTACTTCTTGTTTCTAGCATTCTTGCTTTTAAGAGCATCTAGGAACCTAAGAATAGCTGCACAAGTTCACAGACTTCCTGACCTGGCCAAAAAAAAAAAAGCCTCTGATAAATATATTTTAATTCCATTTGTTTCCACAGTCACTTTTTGATGCAGACATGTACCTGTTATATTGAATCATATTTACTGAAAGAATGATATAATTTCATTTCACCATCAACGTTTAAAAAAAAAATTTGTCTTTAAAAATTGTTTGTGACTGGGAAATTATTCAGGTTTTTTTTAAAAAAAACCTGTAGAGACAGAAATTTTTAACAGTTCTTTTTTTTCCAAAATTCTAGAATCAGAAGGCTGATATAAACAAACTTTTGTCAGAAACTGTGTTGGCAAACTGATATCTTCCAAAGGAAAATTATTTTACCAAATAATTTCTGTGTTTAGACAGTTTTAATAACTACTACTCCTTGCTGTCAAATGAAGTGATCTTCTTGCAGGAGTTCAGATCCAGAATCAGTTTTCCATTTGGACATGCCTCTGTTAAATTTCTAACTGAAAACACATTAGGTCAAAACTAAACTGAACTTATATTTTACATCATAACTACTATCTTGCACACACTCATGTACATGTACACATGTCCTCATGCAGAGCTATCTTCCTTAGAAAAGCCTGACATGTTTGGAAACTTCTGCTTCATAAACAGGGAAGGGTGTGTCTGTGGAATATAGGCACAGGTCTTCAAGTCTACTCCAAATCACACACTTATTTTCTTCATAATTTAAAAAAAGAAAAGACATATATAGGAAGTGGCACTTCCTCATGCCCTGCAAACTTAGATATTTTACTGAATTGCCAACAGTTTTGCCAACAGACAATAGCTGAGAATCCAGGACAGTCTTCAAGATAGTGTGTCTATTTCTTCAGTTACAGAAGAACAAATGACCTTTTTAAGGAGTAACTTGTTCTGCACTTATCTTATCATGATGTGCTGAATAGATACAGAAAATCACTTTCCTCAATTCTCTGTCTACACTCATGCTAATATAGGTCAGGATGATTGGCCAGATTTGCTGTGAAGGCATACTTCTGACTCATGTTCAGTTTGTTGCTCACAAGAAGCCAAAAGTCTTTTCCAACAAATCTGATTTCTATCCAGTTGACCAAAGCAACAGCATGGAGTGGTTTGGTCCCAGCTGCAGGACTTTGCATTTGGCTTTGCTGAAATTTATAAGGTTCTCATCAGCCCATTTTGAACCTGTGTAGGTCTGTCTAAATAGCAAGCCTTTCTCTCCAGCCCATGCTCCTCTCAATTTGGGATCATCAACAAATTTCCTGAGAGTGCACTCTGCCCATCATCTAGGTCATTAATAAAGATGTGGAACAATGTTGACCTCACTGTTGGTCATCTGTGGAATGCTACTAATAACTGGCCTCTGGTTTGACTTTACTGACACATTTTGAACCATTTTTTTACCCATGTTATTGTTCACTTATGCAGTATGTATCTTACCAATATAGCTGTAAGAATGCTACACAAAGATGTATAAAAGGCCTTGCTAAAGTTAAGATATACAACAGCCACTGACCTCTCATCAACACAGCTAGCTTCTAGAAGGCAATCAAGTTTGCCACTTATAATTGGCTTTGGTAAATTCATGTTAGCTGTTCTCAATCACCTTCTTGTCCTTTATATGGCTGGAAATAGTTTCCAGGTGGATTTGTGTCATTACTTTCCTGGGAACTGGGATGAGGTTGACTGTACTGTAGTTCCATGGATCCTGCTTACTACACATCTTGAAGATCAGTGTGATAACTGCCTTTGGCTAATCATCAAGAAGCTTCCCTCATCACCGTGATCTTTAAAAGATGTTAGAATGTAGCCTTACAATGACATTGACTAAGATGCCTACTGTCTGGTCCTATGGTTTTGTTTAAGGTTCTGTAGTCCTGATGCATGCCTTGAGGGACGACTCATATACTGTCAGTTTCATGGTATAAAAACCTTGTTCCTGAATGGCTGCAAGGCATATCTTCCATTATTTTAGATAATGTGAAAAACAAATAATCTATCCCCATGAATAATACTTGTCTTATGTGTAGAGAGGCACCACATGGGACCCAGAGGAAATCTTGGACTGAGTACTTTGCAAAGGACTCACAACCAATTGGTCTCCCCAGGCTTCAGAGTGGTCTCTAGATCTGTTATAATTGGTCATATGGCTGTAGCTGCATTTGAGTCAAAGAAGGCCAGAGTGAACTTCGGTTTTAGAAGAAAGTCTTGTCAAAAACACATAAACAACTTGAGCATAGACTTGAAAATGTTAAGAATTTGACTTTGCTTGGACATCTGGCTAGTAGTTCTCCCTCATTTGCATATAATGATATCCAACTTTTTTTTATTTCATGGGCCATACAGCCTGATGGAGAAGTTAATAACTGAAGTAAGATGTTCAGAGAATTGACAGTAAAGCAAAGAAAATAATTCAATAGGAGAAATCCAACGTTTGCCAAGTGACTGGAGACCAAAGTTGGAGACATAGGAAGCCTCTCCAAGCAAGCCTCAAAGAGGCTGAGCCACTAGCAGCTAGTTGGAGAAAGAATCAAAAAGGGCAAGTCATCACAGCTGAAAGGATCCTAGAATGGAAGCGCGTGACTAAGCATTCAGAACCTCTGAAGTAACAGCACAGGGGAGCTGCAGATAATTTAGAGAAGCCACATTTTCAGGCAGTGCTGTTGAACACCGTTCTTGATAGAGGTTCAAAAATACTAGAGATTGTGACTCCTTTCCCCTCTTTTTGTGACTGGGAGGCATAAAATACCTTACACACAAATTTGCAAGTTGAAATGGGTCTGCAAAAAGGTCAAATAGTGAAAAACACTATGCCAAACTTGATAGCTACCCTAGGCTTTTGTCCAAATGTAGACTCTTCTCCTTAATACTATTTTACCTCTCTTCTTCTCCAAGTTCTTGCTTCCTGTGTGCTAAGGGAAGCTAAGCTCACCTGTAGCGGTCTTGCAGAACAGTTTCTGTCTAGGTGCCCGAGTGAATGCTCTTTATTTCATACACCCAAAAGGCAAGTCAAGGAAGTCTTCATCCCAGCCACTTTTTGTTATACTGATACTGGAGCAAGTCCGTGTATACTCTGCAGAAAAGCAACTCCTTGCAATAGTATAACGGGTCCTTTTCCTTGCCACTTTAGATGCCTATTCACCTATTCATCATCTAGTCCAACCCACCAGCTACAGTAGGATTGCCTAGAGCACATCACAGGATTCCATCCAGATGGGTTTTTTGACTCTTCAAAGATGGAGACTATAAGTATATAATGGAAGACTGGTGAGGAGGACTGTAGGTATGTTCAAGTGACTTGCCCTTGAGCTGTCGGAAAACACATACTAGTTGGAAAACACAATCTAGTAAGATTACTGCTTGGCCTTGTGTGCTCAACAAGCAGCATGGCTGCGCTTAGATAAGAGAGGCCTGGGATAGATGCAGAGGCATGTCTCACATTCCTACCCTGCAAAGCTATCCTTTGATTCCTGGGAACTCCGGCAAAGCAGCAAGTAAAACATAACAAAGCAGTGGGATAAATACCATACGCTTTCTAACAAGAAGACATCTCCTTATGCCTGTGCTGCTGCTTGTCAAGCTGCTCATGTGACTGCTGCCTGTGTGCATTACCTGGGTGCTGCTGCTGGTGAGACCAAATCTGGAATACTATGTCCAATTCTGGCCTCCCCAGTTCAAGAAAGGCAGAGAACTATTGGAGAGAGTGTCATCGAGGGCAACAAAGGTAATTGGGGGGCTGGAGCATCTTTCTTATGAGGAAAGTTTGAGACAGGTGAGACTATTTAGCCTGGAGAAGAGAAGGCTGAGAGATGACCTTCTCAATGTCTATAAATATCTGAAGGGTGGGCACAGGGTGGATGGAGCCAGGCTTTGTGAGATGCAAAGGTGATTTCACTAGAAGGATGAATATTCAAGCAGAGCGGTGTTCTGAGCTGCAATGGAAGCACTGTTCTAGTGACAAACACCCTCACAGTAAAGAAGTTCTTTCTCATATTTAAGTGAAACTTCCTGTGTTCCAGCTTGTGCCCATTGCCTCTTGTTCTGTCATTGGACACTACTAATAAGAGTCTGGCTCCATCCACCCTGTGCCTACCCTTTAGATATTTATAGACATTGAGAAGGTCACCTCTCAGCCTTCTCTTCTCCAGGCTAAATAGTCTCACCTGTCTCAACCTTTCCTCATAAGAAAGATGCTCCAGCCCCCCAATTACCTTTGTTGCCCTCGATGACACTCTCTCCAGTAGTTCTCTGCCTTTCTTGAACTGGGGAGGCCAGAATTGGACATAGTATTCCAGATTTGGTCTCACCAGGGCAGAACAGAGGGGGAAGGATGACCTCCGTCAACCTACTGGCCACACCCTTCTTAATGCAGCCCAGGATACCATTGGCTTTCTTGGTAACAAGGACATATTGCTGGCTCATAGTTAACTTACTGTCTACTAGGACTCCAAGATCTTTTTCCTTAGGGTTACTTTCTAGCACATCTACCCCTAACCTATACTGGTGCAGGCCCAAGACCCTACTTTTGCCTTTGTTGAAGCTCAACATTGTTGAAGCTATTTTTTTATAGAAAACTGGAGGTTTTACTTTCAGAAAAGACCAATGGGCTGCCTCCTACTGAAACAGCCTGCTGTGGAAAAAAAACACTACTAAAACCTCAAGTGTTTTTCACCTTAGATCATAGAATGGTTTGAATCGGAAGGGACCGTGAAGATCATCTTGTTCCAATCCCTCTGCCACTGCAGTCCCTCACAGATTGTTCATGTCTCCCTTGCTACAGATTGTTTCCCAGTACATACTGATGACTATCATGAATGCGGGAAATACTATAGTGTAAAACCGTCATAGAATGATCAGTGAAACTCGGTTACTGAAATACATAATATGAGATACCAAATAACATCATCCATATGGTTATATTTCTAGAATCAAATATAAATACTTGAACATAGTACTTTGAGTTTTTGTTATCCAGTCATAAAGAAGTTAAATGTTACATTGAATTAGTTCTGAAACTTTGTAAACTGATTGCATGTACTGAAGAAAGACAAATACTTATACAATGTCAAGAAGTAGGATGATTATCCTTGTTACTATCAACTATGATTAGTAAAGGAACTTGTAATCAAGAACTGGCCATTCCTGAAGAGGCAACATCCTAGAATATGTATATTGTATGTATACACAGTTATCATGTTTAAATTTTCACCAACAACCTGGATGAGGTGATAGACTGTACCCTCAGAAAGTTCACTGGTGATACAAAACTGGTGCGGGGGGAAGTGGGAGTGGAGGCGGTGATGGCTGACACACCAGAAGGCTCTGCTACTACCCAACAACATCTAGACAGGATAGAGAGGTGAGTGAAGGTGAACCTTCTGAAGTTCAGTAAGAACAAGTGTAGAGTCCTGCATCTGGGGACGAATAACACCAGGCACCAGGACAGACTAGGGTTCATCCTACTGGAAAGCAGACCCATGGAGAAAGACCTTGGAATCCTAGTGAAGAGGAAGTTGTCCATGGGACAGCAGTGTGCCCTTGTGGCCAAGAGGGCCAATGGGATCCTGGGGTGCATTAAGAAAAGTGTGTCCAGCAGGACTAGGGAAGTTCTCTTCCCCCTCTACTCTGCCTGGTGAGACCACACCTGGAATACTGTGTCCAACTTCGGGCTCCCCAGTTCAAGAGAGACAGGGACCTACTGGAGAGAGTCCAACGGAGAGCTAGAGAGATGGTTAAGGGACTTGAACTTCTCTTCTATGAAGAAAGACTTAGAGAATTGGGTCTGTTTAGTCTTGTGAAGAGAAGGCTGAGAGGGGATCTTATTAATGTGTATAAATATCTGAGGGGTGGGTGTCAAGAGGAAGGGGGCAGTCTCTTTTCAGGGATGCCCAGTAATAGGACAATGAAGAATGTGTATAAGCTAGAACATAGGAAGTTCCACCTCAACATGAGGAGAAACTTCATTACTGTGAGGGTGACAGAACACTGTCACAGGTTACCCAGAGAAGTCGTGGAGTCTCCTTCTCTGGAGACTTTGAAAACTCACCTGGATGCGTTGCTGTGTGACTGCCCCAGGGGATCCTGCTCTGGCAGAGGAGTTGAACTAGATGATCTCTAGAGGTCCCTTCCAACCCCTGACATTCTGTGATTCTATGATTCTATGGGTCTATGATTCTGTGATTCTATGTATTTCTGAACTGTCAGCTACAGAGATGATTAGTCCTATCCTTAGGTGAACTGTCCTGATTATAATACTAAAAATCACACCCACTGTGCAGGAGACCTTAGACCAAGTAGAGACTCTTACTCTCAGAATATGTATAGTGGCATTATGACTGTGTAGCAAAATGCAGATTACTAACTAATTAGATACTAGTGGGATGTCTTAGAAGTCTGTTATTGATAGAATTGTGTTTAAAAATCATCCTGTAAAGTACTGAGGTGTGTTTCTTTGATCCCAGTACCCAAACTTGTGCAACTTTGTAATAAAAACACTGTCTTGTCTCAGTTTGTGAGATTGGTTTACTGAGCACCAGGCTCAGTAACTGTTTTGAGACAACACTTTGAACCATGTAAAGGATTGAGAACTCCTGTCAATGGAGAAAAAACAGATTTCTAATGATATAATTCATTTCTATCACATCCCATTTACACCTGTCTGAGTTGTGTAATGGTGCTAACTGCAACCAGCACCAACTAAAATTTGTTGTTCTTGTCGTTAAAGCAGTCATGAGGTTTTTATGTTTCTTGCAACACTGGCTGGTTTATTTACTCTGATAAATGATGCCTTACAGGAATGGTGTTATTCCTTTGAAAATCTGCTCCCAAGGTAAATTAAAGTTTCCCATTTGGTTTTATTAGATATGATTAACATAGACAATATATGTGTGGTTATATCTTGCAGAAAAAAATGATGGTTTTCAATTAAACTCTAAGACAAGCAACAGTTTTTGTTGAGGTTTGATTTGGGGAAAACTGGGATGCAGATATGCTCTGTCTCATATGAGAAATTTGTCACACAATGTAGATATGGTGTGATGGGTGTAAACTCCTGGGTCATAATGCCTGCTGATCTCTAAGATTGGTAGCTGTTACAAAATCCTGAGTCAGTTTTTGCAGAATTCCTACAAGCAGTTGTTTGTTCCTCATCTTGCTCACCTTCCTTAAAGAGACAATAATTTTTATCACTGAAATTCAAATCTAGTGGTATAGTAAACCTTCCTGTATCATCTGACTAGTAGCACTGATAAACTGACAGCAAAAGAAATTAAATTAAAAGAAATACAAATTACCTGTAGAAAAACCCATCTTCTTGTGGCATTTTGTAAATTCAATATTAAAATAGGTGACCAAGGCATGAATGTAATCATTACGCTGAACTTGGAGGCAGAATGCAGAAGTAAATGCCAGTTCTTCAGTCTTCACTGTATAAATATCTACTTCCTGTTTTGAGGAGAAAGAAAAAGACTTTCACAAGCAGATGTCTGTAGCTCTAAGGTATGTATTAACTGATGTACTTAAGTGTTTTATTTAATGATCAACAACAAAAACAAGTGGCAGCCCTTTAACACTGTGAGAAATCAATGTTACATTTGAATATATCAAATAATCAGAAAATAATCCAGTTATCTGACTAAGTTGACAGAGCATGAAAAGGGAGTCCACTCACAGAAAAGTGTGTGTCCTTGGGAATGGTAGGGAGGGGCTGCCGGAGCTGGAGGAAATCAGGGTAAAAATGTGCTTTGACAAATATAGGCACAATGGATGTTGAAATGGAGATACAGGTCCTGGTTCTAAGACCTTTTGTCATCAAGGACTGTCAGCATGAGGAAAGATGGCAGAGTTGGATTTTTAAGAAAAATAAACTCCTGATTAGTTTGAGCATCTCTGGAAGGGAATGTGCTTTGACTGTGTCAAGCAGTCAAAACATTTGAAGCAACGTAAGGGCCTGATTTTAACTGATAATGCTTTCAAGACCTGTGTCAGTTAACTAATTCAAAAGAGTAAGCACTGGGATCTTACTCTTGAACTAGAAAGAAGCAAATCATATAAATTGTACTACGGCTTGATTACAGTATTTGGGGGCAATGATGTAGTCTCCAAGATTTGCTTATTTCCATCAATATTTAAATCTCACTGTTCAAGGCCTAAATGGAGTTTTTTAGATGGATCCCATTTTCCCAGCTACATATTACTTTTATCTGGGTGTCATGGGTTTGAGTCTGGTGAGGTTTTTGGAAGCGGAGGGAGAGCTGAGGGAGATGACTCTTGAGGAACTTCAAGACCCTACCCCAACCCTCAGGTACGAATCGGACTGTCTCCGGCCAGGGCCAGGTCAACCAGTGCCTCTGCGATCAGGCTATTTAAAAGGCAACCCTATTGTTCCTCTTTCTATTTTGGTTTCCTTTTGTCTTGAGCTGTCCTGTCTTTATGTAGGGGAGTTTTTCTGTTGAAGGAGGGGGATGTGAGATGAAAACAAAGGAACATGGTCCATGAAAGCAAGAAGGGGAGGAGGGTGTTGGACTAGAACCTTTCTCTGGAGCCCAGTAGTGGTTGAGATGGCAGGAAGATGACTGGCTGCCAGTTGAGGTAATTGACAGTGGCGAGGATGTCCAGGATGCAGCGACACATGAAGAGCCCCATTCAAGAGGGAAGAGAGACCAAGTATCAGCAGGGGATGTGCCTGAAGTAAACTGTGGCCCCAACTGGGATGGACTCACGAGGAGGAAGAGGATTGCCTCCTGTGAAGAGGACACCATGCAATGTGAAGGGGAGACTGTGAGGAGCCCTCATTCTCAAGGAGGAGCTGCCATGGATGATAAGTAATGACAAGTTGGACTACACCCTCTATTCCCCTCTATTGCACCAATGGGGGGGAGAAGGTAGCTGGGAAAACAGGAGGGGTGGGGGTAGAGAATGTATTTAAAATCAGGTTGTACTTATTTATGTATTCCTCTGACCATCTTACTCCATAAATGGTGGTGGTAAATTAAATTTATGTTTTTCTCCCCAAGTCTATTCTGTTTTCTCACCCTTCAAGTGGTAGATCATTACCCTCCCTGTCCATTAATCTCAATCCTTGAGCCTCTTTGTTGAATTTTCTCCCTCCACACTCCTGTGGAGACCTGGGTGGGAGGAGGAGTGAGCAAGCAATCGTGTGGTTCTTTGTTGTCAGCCCTGGCAGTAGGCTGGAACCACAACACTGGGATGTTTCCAAAACTTTTCATCATGTTAGGGAAGAAACTAAGTCTGAAATGATGTTAATTGTATCCTAATGTTATAGAAGATGTTTTCTATCAGTGCACTTTCTGATACTCTCCTAAAGTGCATCTGGCTTCGGTGTCCTTACTGCCCTTGTTAGGGCATATCTGTCAAACCCCCAGAATACTTTTCTTTCAATTATTCAGAAGGACGAAACATGTCACATATACAGAGACGTAGAAGCTTTGTAGGCAGAAATCTGGATGTGCTCTACTCTAACAATATAAACCAGGAATCCTGTCACTGACCTCACCGACATTACGTCAGACTCACACTGCAAAAATGGAGAGTAGAGTGTCGGGGCTCTTTTACTCTCTTCTAGGGTACAACAGAGGGCTCTTTCAGCAGTTGTATTCTAATCTAAGAGAAGTCTGCAAAACCAGACATGAAAAGATGCAGCCATATTTGAGCTACTGAAGTCTTTGCATAGATCTCATATAAAGTATTTCTGAGACTTACTTAGAAAATTTACGGTGGCATGATTTAAGCAAGCTATAATTTTGGCCTGTCTGATTAACAGTAGTGTTGAAGAATAACTTCACCATATTGGAAATTATTCCACTATATTGCAATGGCACCCTGAGTCACTAGTGATTGTAAGTGACCCAGGCTTTTAAGTGGTCATTTAAGACTGAGATAGCCTTAAAATGTCGTGCATTCTTTTTTCTTAAAAAGAAGATTAAAAGCATACTAGGAATAAGAATTTCTTAAGTCATCTGGCAGAATTCCATAGCAGCCTGCAAAACTTGCTTTGACAAGCTAGACCGGACCTGTGGGTGATAGCTGCAGAGTTCTGTAATTTTTGGTGGCTTTTTTAGTGGTATCACTGCGGGGAAATTGTGAATTAAATCCAATATGTGTCACATAAAAGGGATTTATCTCCCTCTCTCGGAGCAGTGTTGGCACTGCAGGATAAAGTGAAATCAAAGTTAGTAGGAGATATTTTTATTAGGGAAGTTAGTGGAAATTTTAAACAGATATGCTGGATAAAATAGTGGTCACTTCTGTAGTGATATTTTAAGGATAACGTGGGGTTTTTTTACTATGCTTTGCGTATGAGACAAAGATGGGTGTATTTTTGAATGAATATACTTTTGAAACTGGCTTGATACTGTTTTAGTGATGACTTTGAATTGTACTCTGGCTACTATATATTCTTATATTAAATGTCACCACTCATTGAATGGTAGTTACAGCTAACAGCACACGGGACAAATGCTACCTTTGCATAAATGAAGTGTAAAAGTCATGATTTAGCATATTTCATTCAGATTTCAAAAAACCAAAATGTGCAGAGTTAGTCAGAATTTTATCAAAATACAGCTCCTAATTATACAAAAAAATAAAATGTGTAAAGCTGAGCAACAATAAAAGTGTCAGAATTATCAGCTAAATAAAGAGGTCCAGATCGTGGTTGACACTGCATGAAAGACCATGAGACATCCCATGTTACATGTCCCTGCTTCAGAGACAGAGGTCCAGTTTTTACATTCACTGCATAAAGAACGTTTTTTGGGCTTTCCTGTGGCACAAGTTGCTTTAGAACCAAGCAAATTATTATAGAAGATCATTTAGAATCACAGGGATCATGACAGTGAGATTGAGATGTGGTGTTGTAAGCTGCTGTGTATTTCTTGTTTGAATGGTAAAACTTTAGCTGAAGGCAACTTAACTAATGAGAGAAACAGTTCTCAATCAGGTTTGCTGATGAGGAAAATGCGGCCTTCCTTCCTGACCTATTTCCTCATGTGAATTGTAATTAACGTTGTTCTAAATTGCCAACATAACTCTTTTCTGATCCCCCCCCACGCAGTCAGCTTACTCAGCTACAATTGTGTGAGCATGGGATAAGTTAAAGATTCAAATCTCAGCGAATACCTGGTTTTGTTCATTTGTTTCCTTTTTAGTTTTGAGTCAGCTTTTTCCCCCTTCCTGTCTCCCACTGAAGCTGTCTTAGTTTGGACAAAGAGGAAAGTGTTCAATATAGGATGTGATGGTGGTGGACCTAGCGTTGCTAGGTTAATAGTTGGACTTGATGATCTTAAAGGCCTTTTCATTTTAACAATTCTATGATTATATGATGGTGAAGGCAGCGCTAATCATAGCAGGTAAAGAAGCTGGAGGACAAGTACCATTAGTACAAGCAGTGCTTCCAGCTTCAGGAAAAGTATTGATCTGAAGTCTAAGTACAGTTTATTGCTAGGGAAAGGAGAAAGAGACAAAGCAGTAGTGCCAGCTTCAGGAAAAGGATTGCTTTTAAGGCTAAGTACAATTGCTAGAGAAAAGAGAAAGGGACAAACCCTCTTTTCTGACAAGCATGGAGAAAAACTACCTATAATTTCACCTATATGCAGCTCTGAGGGGAGCACTGAATGCAAGATTCAACCCCCAAAACACATTCACTTTTCCAAAAGAATATTTTTTTTTTTAAAGACTGCAGAGAACTAAGAGTACTAATGTGAGTAGCTAAGAAACAACATTAAGTTCTGGGTGTTTCAGGAAGTAGTGAAAGGAAGAATCTCTATTAGATGAAATAACAAGGAAGCAAGTTTATCTACTGCTTCTAGATAGACAAGATGTCAGCCTCCTGCCAGTGCTCCTCTTCTGCCATCTTTTCCTTTTTGCACAGAGGAAATGCCTGAAAATTACCATGATGTTATTTGTTTTATGTGATTTTCATTTGTGGTGGAGGAAGGGGATAGGCAGACTTAAATATGAGGATGCTTAAGGAAAAGATTAAGGGGAGAACTTCTGGAAAGGGAAGAGTGACAGCGAAAGTCACTTAGGAAAGGGAAGGGAGATCTTCATGTTGAAGAAAATCGTAGAGAAGAAAAATGAGAACAAAACAAACAGTGTTTGAAGGACGATTAAAGCCTCTTGCTTGAAGAGAAGGTGAAGCTGGGATTAGGGAGTTCACTGAAGTTGCAGTGGACCAAGAGAAAATTCTCATGAGGAATGCCTTGCCCTAGACCTCATGGGTAAAGAATATTATGGGAGAAGAACATTGCACTCATTGCAGCTCAGACAAATGACTCAACTGTGTAGCTGGATCTTTCTAAGCAACAGTACCTTTTTGAATAAAATAGTACTTTTTTGAATAAAATAATGCAGGTCCTTTGAAATAAGGTTTCATGCAGGTAAACCATGATATTTTCAAAACAGGGAAAATTTCTCAAAGAACTGAATATTTGAGTATGTAAGTCAATAGGATTTTTTACTGTTATGCTAAGTTCTCCGATTAAAAAAAAAAAGTTATATAATTATGTTTTATGTGCAAGGAGGGTAGTTTGTGCTTTTGATAGCATTAAACTGTGTAATCTTAAAGTTGTGCATGACCTGCAGAACCTTTAAACTGTTCCTAGAAAGTGTGGGATAACTGGGAGCATAAAAGCAATTTATTTATTTTGTTTGGTTTTTTGTTTGTTCTTTTCTGTGCCTAGATAGGGGATGACAGTCATGAAAGTACAACAACATTTTTTATTACAAACTGTATGTGGCATGATCCTTATTCTTGTTTGGTTTTGTGAGTTTTTGCCACTCATTGCAGGTTTTTCTATATCTACGTGAACAACTGATTTGTTGTTATTGTAGTCTCTGGTGCTGACACCGAATCAAAATTAACATGGAGAAAAAGATGTGGGTAAATCCAAAATTATTTGTATTTCTTTAACATGCAAGATAATCTGAGAATTAAAAACAACTCTTTTACTGAGTTTGAAACAAACTTTTAGATTTTTTCAGGTAATGTTACAGAAAGCAGTAAGCCCTCAGAAGGACACTTGTGCACTTTTCCTGAGGTCAGTTATTGATTGATTTGGTCCTATTACCATCCCTGGCTCATTTGGTTTGGAATTAATAGGACTCCTACTTGCCAGGAAAGTTCTCATGCCCCTGGGATGTATTTAAGAGATCATTCAAAGAGGAATGGCTTCCAGAACAGAGAAGATGCTATATTCACTGCATGCATCACCTGCAGTGCACCTGTGGATAGGGTTCCCTGAAGGGCTCAAGGCCTGGGTTGCATTCAATTCCTGAACAATACAAATGAGAAAGTTTTACTAAAGTCTCCAGCATTCCAGATAAGTGTCATGGTTACATAACATGTAGAATTGATATCTTATTTTGCTGATTTTGTAGAACAATTCAAAACATCTGAATTGGAAATTGAAATATCTGCAGAAGCACAGGGCGCTGACTTGTCTATTAGGAATGCATCTAGTGACTAGTCCATCTATTGACTAACGTACAGGAAATGCAGCCTCACTTGTTAGGCACCCTAAGTTAGCTGGCTTTTTGTTGAATAGACCCCTAGAAATCCCTTTGTAAATATAATATGAATCAGCTGTGCCATCTAGAAATGCTATAATAAAACATTTGAATAATTAAACATTACTGTTCACCTATTCTCAGAAGTTTTCTTAGGCTAATATTATTCTCTTAATTCACAGTATTTTCAGGATTAAAGAAATGCAATTTAAAGAAATAAACCCTATGTAAAAGTAAATTCAATTTCAAAAAAATATAGACCCAGATTTTCCTGCTTGCTTGAACAAAAGCCTCCCTTCTTCCTGCCTTTCATTGACAATTTCCTCTTTCTTTAGTTTGTGAACGTGCAGTTTGTGAGATTAGGGACAGATTCTGGAATGGAGGGTGGTTTCTGCTTGCGTAGTTATTTTGTGCTTTGCTCCCAAGGTGGCATTACATGGTAAAACACCATTCAGTGTATGGACAAAAGATGTCAGGCCATGTAGAATTAGATATAAAACCCAAACAGGAACAATTTGAAAGTTTTGGTCTGTCTTATTAAACCAAATTACTTTCCAAGACTTTCTAAAGAAAGCGTTAGATTTGCACTTCGTGTAAAGGCACGCAGCTTTTATAGCTTTTTATTCCAGTGAAGCCAACCCATTTTGCCACCTGGTCTTTCACTCTCCAGACATAATTTATGCAGTCTAAATAACTGTGTATTTTGTGTGTACTGCAATTTTAAGCTGCTCTCTCTCTCAGGTTGCTTTGTATTACAAATGTCTTGTGTTTCCCCCAGTGCAGATGGACCATGCGTGCATATGTACTCACACAGAGTTTCTACATCTGTTCCTTTTTGCTGCTTTCAGTAAAAGTTCTGCACACTAAAGGTATAGCTTTTTATTTTTGCATATAGGAATATTTTATGCTCTATTTGCTACTGACAAAAAGTGGAAGGGAAAAATCAGAATGAGTTACTGAGCATACTCTTGGATTCACGGACCTGATTACCACTGGTGTTAATGCAGCTGGCCTTATGAGAGTAGTCCCACATGACAAGGATTCATTCACATGGATAGAATTTTAGAGCTTTTTGCTCTAAATGTGTTCCTGAAGGCTATAGTTTCTTAACCTAACCTTGTGAACTGGGAGTAGTGACAATTCTGCTGTCTTAATGTAGAACAAGGTAGAAGCTAACCTCTGGCTGCAGATGTTGGAGTCAAAAGAGCACAGTAACATTCTGGATAAAGCTAAGAATTAGGAAGTCATATAAATAAGTTAGGTTCCAATTCTAAGCTCACGCTCTGGAGTAAATGAAAATTATTTCTTTAGAGCTGACCAATTCATGACCTGATGCTTCAGTCTTTTCTACTGCAAATAAAATTATTTTACCCCTTCTCCTCGGCAGCATTACATCACTAATTTCCAAATTCTATTTACAAGAAGGTAGGGCAATTAAAATTCATATTTAAATACACTACGTCTCTATTTATCCAGTATACGTAATTTATATGAGTCTTAAGTTACAGTTAACACCAGCCAGATGAGCACATTCACAAGGAGCATCTTGTTTTTGGATGTTCCATAAGTGATCAAGGTATCAACGTTCACATGACAGTACTGGGCATGTGCAACATACAACTACCGACCAATTTTAAACTGGTGTGATAGCATTCTATCATGATGGCTTTTGTGGCTAGTTAGAAGCATACAAATATAGTAGTAAAACATAAGCAGCAGGTCTTCAAAGAATCCTACAATTAGGTGTAAACATTCATAATTAGGCATATTTGGAATCACCAAACCTTTATTAAACAGGCATTGGTCACCACTTGCTTTGGATCTACTATGTCCACCAAAGGCTCCTTCATGGCAACATCCCTAATACAGGTCATGTCAAAGCCGTACACATTCTCCCACCCTGTCAATGCAAATGGATGTATCAAAGATTAGCAGTAATAATAAATTTTTTTTTCTCAAAGCATCTTTCATTTGAAAGAATTTCTAACACCCCCTAACTTTCAGCTCTCCTCTTTACCTCTTTGCTCCTTGTCCTTTTGTTTGTGTGATCACTATTTTATAGATAATGTCCTTGTGGCAAAATAACCCCTCAATGTATATCTTTCAACAAGTGTCCCTTGATTTTTTGGTGTCAACAAAGCTGTGTTATATGAGATTTGTTGATGATTTTCATGATTTTAAAGATCTGAGAGTGTTGCCCAAAATCATATAATATGTCAGGTTGAGACTTGGGAATAGGTGCTAAACTTATTCTATCCATTCTTATCTGTTCTGGTTGATATTTGCTTTTTTTTTTTTAATAGATTGTTATTCAGTCAGCAGTTTGCATGCTCTTTTAATATTTAAGTAGTCTTAATTTCAGCAAGTGAATTACTGACAGGAGTAGAACTACAGCTGTGTTTCAATATTTGGGGCATCCGAGTTTTAATCTGCATAGACATCATGATAAAAAAGCAAAATGTTCATCTCCTAAAAGATTTAAAAGCCATGCTGGTCTTCCATATTTGAACTCATAGTTCCAAGAAACGCTTTTTGCTGAGGTTTTTGTTTTGTTTTGTTTTGTTTTTCTTGAACAAAATGAAAACATTAAAACATTGAAACACTAAAAAGCACACTGGATTTGCTTTTGAGATTGCTTAACAAAATGAAAACAAAACCTCCAGAAACATGAAAGCTTAAGTCTTACGAATCATGAGTAAAGTTCCATTCAATGCTCCATTTGAAAGTCTAAACAAAACTTTTTAAAAAATTATTTAAACACAAGTAAAGTAAACTGACAAACAGCAATAGTGAGCATGTTTATTTGTCTTGCTTTTTCAGATCATAGCATTTGAGATATTGCTGTTCCTTGAGGGCTATGATTGAAAATGCAGTATAAGTAAAAAACCTGCATATTTCTAAACTGGAACAAAACTGGACATAAACAGTTCTTTGACACGATATTTCTATATTGGGTGGTGAGTTTTCCAATATTTTAGGTGGGCTAGTGATCAAGATTTTTGTTTCAGATATTATGAGTTTGTGGGACCTTCAGATTGCATTTGTAGAGGTCATATGTTTTTATATGATTACTCAGAAAAGACTAGCCAGGAAAACTTGAAGGTTTTACTAGCAGAGTTGTTGTGGCCTTGATGTACTTGATGTACTTCAGCCTGTATGAGACAGAGACCTAGAAGTTAAAAGATAAAATTATATATTTTACATTATGCAGGAAATAATACTAATAAAGTCTGAGGAATCAGAAGTCAGTTTAGAAACTTCATATTGCACTATTTCTTAATCACTATGGTGGTTCTTGAGTGCCCTTTGAAATGCTCAGTCCTGTATCTCATATGAAGGTAAGATTCTATCTACCTTAGGAGAGGAAAGAGAAAGATGACAAACTGTGATGTAAGGAGACATCATCAAGGATTTATAAACTGAAAAAAGAAGTACGGTGGTGGTGCAGATAGGTGGTGAGATGAAAATAACTGAAAACACAGAGGTATAAGAAATGAGGAGGGACTTCGGTGAAATCAGAAACAAAAGTGCGTTAGAGGAAAACAACATTTTAGAAGAGAAAAAGAGCCTGAAATCTTTTTTTATATGATGGAAAATTAAACAAGTGGAAGACAGATGTGTTGTCTGTGAGAAAAGAAAAAGGCTCAAGGCCTAGAAAGGAAGAGGTTCAAAAGCAAGGTGAAAGAAGGCATAAGAGATTTTATTAGGCCAAAATAGCTATGATTCTTTCACAGATTGGATGCCTCAAACATCCTTTTGGGTGTCTAAATTTGTAAGAAATTTAGCTGCCAAGATCATCGCATAATTGAGCAGAAAAATCTAGGCTGTGCTTGAGAAGTACATATAATTCTCTCTGGCTCTTACACAGACTTCTTGTTACTGCCCCGTTGCATTGGGCTTGTTTTGACCCATTGGCAGTTCTGTATATTGGCATTGAATTTGATTACAGAAACACCACATTTTCTTTTCTGGGAGGAGCCAAGAGGCAAAGAATGAGGAGTTAGGCATTTTCATTTAAAGGTTAAACAAGCCCTCTCATTTTATCCAAGTCTTTGCACATATCCTTGGTTAATCATAAAATCACAGAATGATTTGGGTTGAAAAGGACCTCCAAGATCTATTTCCAACCCCCCTGCCATGGGCAGGGCCACCTCTCACTAGACCGGGTTGCCCAAAATCCCATCAAACCTGGCCTTGAACACTTTCATGGAGGGGATTTCCACAGCTTCTCTGGGAAACCTGTTTCCTCACAGAAAAGAATTTCTTCCCAATATCTAATCTAAATCTAGCCTGTTTCAGTCTGAAACCACTATCCCTTGTCCTGCCATTACACTCCCTGGTAAACAGTTCCTCCTCTTCTTTCCTGTAGGCCTCCTTTAAACACTGGAAGTCTCCTATTAAGTTCTCCCCAGAGCCTTCTCTTCTCCAGGCTGAACAGCCTCAGTTCTCCCAGGCTGTCATCCTACGGGAGGTGCTCCAGCTCATGATCATCTTCATGGCCCTTCTCTGGTTATGCTCCCACAGGTCTATGTTTTTTTTGTGTTTAGGGACCCCAGAGCTGAGATCCTCCCACTACTCCAAGTGGGGTCTCATAAGAGCAGAGGGGGAGAATCACCTCCCTTGACCTGCTGACCACAATTCTTTTGATGCAGCCCAGAATGTGATTGGGTTTCTGAGCTGAAAATGCACATTGGTGGAGAAGAGAAGGCTCCAGGGAGACCTTATAGCAGCCTTCTGGTACCTCAATGGGAACCACAGCAAAGCTGGTGAGGGACTGCTCACAAGGGTGTGTAGTGACAGGCTGAGGGGCAATGTTTAAGATTACAGCAGGGCAGATTTAGCTTAGCTTAGATATTGGAAAAAGGCTCCTTACAATGAGGGTGGTGAAACATTGTAGCAGGTTGCCCAGAGAGATGGTAGAAGCTCTACCCCTAAATGCATTTAAGGTCAGGCATGATGGGACCCTGAGCAAACTGATCTAGTTAAAGATGTCCCTGTTCACTGCAGGGGAGTTGGGCTAGATGACCTTTAAATGTCCCTTCCAGCCCACCATATTCTGTGATTCTGTGATTCTGCGATTCTACGATTCTACAGTTCTATGATTCTATGATTCCTGGCTCATATTCGGTTTTTCATCCATCATCACCCACAAGTCCTTCTCTGCAGGGCAGGTCTCAATCCACTTGTTGACCAGCCTGTATTGGTGCTTGGGATTGCGCTGACTCAAGTGCAGGACCTTGCACTTGGCCTTGCTGAACTTCATGAGACTTGCATGGGCCACTTCTCAAGTCTGTCTAGGTCCCTCTAGATAGCATCCCTTCCCTCCAGCACACTGACTGCACTAAACAGCTTGGTGTCATTGGCAAATTTGCTGAGGGTGCGCTCAGCCCCACTCTCCATGTCACCAAGGAAGATCTTAAATAGCACCGGTCCCAATACCGAACCTTGAGGAACACCACTTGTCTTTTCCTTCTGTGACTTCAGTGGTGTGGCTGGAACATTTTCCCATGGTCTCCAATTGGATGTTGAACCATTGACTGCAATCCTTTGAGTGAGACCATCCAGCCAATTCCTTATCTACCAAGTGGTCCATCCGTCCAGCCCATGTCTCTCCATGACAATGATGTCATGTGGGACGGTGTCAAATGCTTTGCACAAGTCCAAGCAGACAATGTCAGTTGCCCTTCCCTTATCCACCAATGCTGTAGGCCCCTCGTAGAAGGCCACAAATTTATCAGGCACAAATTGGCCTTAGTGAAGCCATGTTGGCTGTTGCCCATCACCTCCCTATTTTCCATGTGACCTAGCATAGTTTCTCAGAGGATCAGCTACAAGATCTGGCCAGGCATAGAAGTGAAACTGACTGGCCTTTAGTTCCTTGGGTGTTCCTTTTTTTCCTTTTTAAAAATGGGGATATGTTTCCCTTTTTT